ATACTCATATTCCTGCAGGATTGCGCTAGTGCAAACAACCAGTTATATAAACATCTGTAACTCTTCAACATACGCCTGTGCGTGCAACATTTATACATATATTCAGCGTCATTTTATCACGTGTTGCTCAATGAAAAAATTGCTGCACAGTCACCTTCCCTCTGCATGCTTCACATAACATATGTGGGATCTGCCGAATTCTATTCTTTATACATTCGTTGGGTCCACACTGATCATGTCAGCTTTTTTTTGTCAGTGTTAAAAAGATTCGGCAGATCCCACGTACCTGGGAATCAACTTTATGCTAAGCATGCTGAGGGAAGATGACCGTGTTGCATTTTGTACAAATGTTGCACGCAGAGACATATGTTGAAGAGTTGCAGGTGTTTATATAACCAGTTTTCCACTTGCCCAACGATGTTGGCTGGAAATGTGTTTTAGCCCCACCAAAAGCTGATATGAAGTGCTGATGCTCGCAAAGATGCTGGCCCTTGACACTGCTACTTAAATCAACTTCAGCACATGACACCTCACCACAATGAACCTTGCCCCGACGTGAGCTCTGGCTCACGTCGGGTTAAGGTGAGCTGTGGCTTGACGAATCAGAGTGATGAGGCGCGAAAATAAAGACTGCACCTCGTGGCAGCCTTTGGTACTTGCAACACATTGCAAAAAGCAGTTCTTAAAGGCATGTGTTTGTTAACTAAACTTTATACGTGAAGTACATGTCACATTTCCAGCTGGCTGCGAAACAAGTGTGCGCATTATGTCTGTGTGGTCAGTCTAGGCTTGTGTGAATACAGTTGATCCTGGATACATCGAAGTCAAAGAGGATTGCGAGATAGTTCGATAGATCAATAACTTGAAATACAAAATACGTGTATTTGTGGCCTAAATTAAAGCATTTCAGGCTTCAGAAATCATTACAAGTGCTAACATAATGATCAGCGAAGGTGGTGGCATATTAATAATCCTACGGCTACACTTCCGCGGCACCAGCAATGGCACCTATGATGTCAGCTCAGCATCGATGCAGTCAGAAAGAGCTACGTCATCATCTGCACCAATGAAGTCTCTTATTGTCCGACACGGTGCCCGCAAACGCCGATAAGTTGCAGAATTCACTGACGCATCGCATGTCGTTGTCATCCATCGGGACGCATTCGAAGTCGTCATCTGGTCCGCAAGGAAAGTTTATGACGGTGCTTCATTTGACGTCACTCCAAGCGCCAGTCATGATTTTTATTGCTACGTTGGGGTCAATGTTCAGTTCAACTTCCGAATAAGGATATATTAGGAACAAGGCACGAAGTGCAAGTGCGCAAGGCCCAAAAGACAACGCACAGTTCGCACTATCGACATTTTGTCGATATTGGTGTCACTTGTGGCTTTGTAGCCGGCAGCCGTTGCTTTGATGTGAAAAGCTAGAAAAAGCATAGCCTCCGAGACATATATTTTAAAACCGAAAACACTAAAAATACGTCATAAGGTTGCACACGTGGGAGGCCATGCTTTTCAAGCTTGCATGCCCCTTACATGTCATTTTGCACTAACAAACAAGGAAGAGAATGCGAATATTGCAACGAGATCACCTAGGGACTTCGCATACTCATTTTGGTGTTTTCGGCATTGTTATTTCTGAAAAACACGATGTCCGCGTGTTAAGACATGCAGATCGTGCATAAAACATACGAAGGCATTCGTAAGCGCCGGGCAGTGAACCAAATCAGCGCGATGGAATAACACTGCCTTTTCGTCACCAGCACGCGAAAAGGAATCCGAACTCATTGGAACGCGGCTGAAAATTGATCAATATTTGCTAGAAAAAATGCACTTTCTGGGTTTGGCGTGGCACAGCATTTGATATAACTGATGTCTCGTTTTGCGGGAGTTCGATATAAGGGTGCACCGGTCCCCATACTTCAGTTATCCCACTTCTGTGCCAATTGTGCCAAAGTGCACCAAATTAGATTTACTGCGCCATCCTGATAATATCGACAAAAATTGTGCCAGATGCGCCAAACTGCACCAAAGCCGGATTTGGAAGCGTCGATCACCAGCAGTATCCACGCCGAGGCATCAAAACATGTGCACCTTTTTCTCGGGACCACCAAAGTCACAATCACGTACCTAGTCATTCCGCTGCATAAAGAGCGGTAGCGTGTGCGTCCTAAACAATCTACGATGCTATGTTTGGTGCCGATGCAACTCTTGTTGTGCAACTCCGCTTAACGGCGAAACTCGCTCTCCGCAGGGGCTCATGACATCTAGTCCAACGTGAAACTGCGGTGGCAATTCATTGGCGGATGTCGTCCGTTCCAGGAAAGCTGCTGATAGTTCGTTTGAAGAGTTGCACGGCACGTAATTGAAGCGATGTTTACTAATAACTTCACGGGTGCCACCAGAATGTTTGTCATGTCTACTACTGAAAATCATGATCTAATTTTCTGTGCTTCGCGTCCACAGAAGAACATGTGAACAGTGGGAACGCATTGACACTTTTCCTTTAATATACTTTATTCTTGGAGATTCATTCAGAAGACCTTTTTTGTAATGCCTTCCACCAGCACATTTGCGTTTGTAATCACTATTGCGGTAAAAGCCCCCAAAAGACCCTGCTCTTTCAATTTCGAGATTGCTAGGGTCTGAATAAAAAATTTTTTTGTGCTTTCTTTTAAAATGTCATCTCATTAATGAAAGCATGCCTCCTGGTCAAAGCAGCCACAATTCGATTTTATTATGCGCAGCTTTCAGTAGTGGGGCCATTGCTGGTGTCTCTTGTCGGAAGGCTGACTGTGAAACGGCAATGCCACTATACACGTACGCCCCTCGCTTTCCAGTGTCAGTAGCTCACAGGTAAAAAAAAAGATGAACACCACGGCATCGCATTTATTCCTTTGTTATTATTATTTTTTTTTTGGGGTGGGCATAGTGTAGGCTGCGTCGCTCGTAGGGCGCAGTTGCTGGCGCGGGCTATATCTCGAGCCATAATGAGATTGCTCGTAAACGTTCCGTGCTACTGACCTCGGCTTTGCGTTTATATTACTAACAGCATGAAAACCGCTTCCACAACTGGAGTGGTCATTGTCCCTTTAGCCAGCGTTTGTTGAGTTATGTGACATCGGGTCTATTAGATACAATTTGTTAGTTTCACCTAAGCTCTTAGCAATGAATGGGATACGAACAAATTGTATTTTTATACCAAATGATAAGGCTTGACGTCATCCACGAGGAGTACTAGTGGAGGTATTGCCATTTTGGAGGACTGCGCACGCGCAGAAAACTTGCTGCGCTCGCGGTGTTCGATATCCGTACAGTGACTTCGATGACTAGAGATCCCCGGAACGCCTCTTGCACGCTGACACATGTACGGATAGAATCAGAATTGTCTAGAGCGCTGAGCTAGTTGCTCTAGCTGCCGTTTTTTTTTTCTTCGGAAGTATCTAAGGAGAGACGCTGTAATAATACCAAACATGTTCGTATTGCGTGTTAAGTCCTTGTGCTGTAATGTAAGGATGAAAGGAAGCTTGTAGTTAACGTGGCATAGAAATCGTGGCCAACAACAGTGTCAGCAGGCACGTGCTTCACTGGCCTAGATAAGTGTGATTTTATGAATGGCGAACGGCGCATACGAATGCAGCACCTCCAAAATGGTGTGACAATGGTGTGGCTGCCTTGCGATCAAGGCTCAGTGCAGACCCCTATATGGCCGTTCCAGAAAGCGACGCACTTTTGTTAGCGTTGAGAATAAAAGAAGGGTATACCAGCAGTCTTTAATGCCTGCCGAAATAGAGCGAGCGCGCCAGCGATCACACCCTAAAAGTCAGAGTTCATATACCAACGTCCCCCTCTCCCCCTCTCCTTGTGGTCCTAGTGTCTTCCTGCTCCTTGACGATGGGCGGCGCGTTGCTCTTTGCTTGAGATAGGTCGGCTCTTTTTAATCTCTGCTTTAGCCGCGTTCGTCGCCTCCATTCGCACGCTTTTACCAGTGCCTAAAGCACGATGTGCGGGAGGATCTTATCAATTTGGACAGTACACAAAACATGATGGTGACAGCCAGTGGCGCAACCAGGAGGGGCAGGAGGCACATTGGGGACGCCCCTTCTCCGCGTAATTTTTTTTCACCATGGCATATATAAAGCAGAATGACCCCCACACCCCACCCGCCCTCGTGCAGTCAAGGTGGCCCCTTCCAAAAAAAAAAAAGTAAAATATTTTTGCCTACGCCCCTGGTGATGGCAAAAACCAGTCGAGAATGTACATATAAATGCTATCTTAATAAAAACAAAATCTCTCTTGTCATCAAGTTGTCTTAGGCGAATGCATAAGGTACCTCTTAAGTTTTTTTTTGTTTGCACTGCTTTCAAGAAGACAATATAGCGGGTTTTTGCACTGCTTTCAAGGGGACAATATAGAGTTTCCGGGAATGACTGGACTAGATAAGGCTGCTTCGACACAGGAGAAAGAGAACACTGATGCACAAGACTTCCTTTGTTCTTCGTTGAATTAATGTTATTCGGTATATGAGATTATGAACGAACTAGCCCAACAACCAATTTTGTGGTGCTATCGTTCTGTCTAGCTTTTTTGTGAACACAGAAGAGTTAACTGCATAACATGGATAATGATAGAGAATTGGGTGTCATGGCTCCTTTAAAGATTTTGCACGAGCCCTACTTTGAAGACAATTAAAATAAACACTCACCACAAATAGAAGCAGCCTAAAAGCAAGATGTTTCAGCTCCACGCAGCGAAGCCTTGTTCAAAAGGCACCTTTATGTCATTGTTGGTGTCTATTTCAGTTGTCTTGGTGTCTTTTCCCAATGGTTCCCATCCAACACTCGTCTGCAAGTCCTACTGTGACAGTGTGCTATGCTGTTTCCTTGATCTTTACTGAAGCTCTGTTATAGTATTACTCGTATAGATTGTAATGCTACCACTTCAAGGGTCTTCTGTGAAGCTTCCTGACGTCCATTAAGTGTGATAAACGATTGGTGCAGGTGGTGGTGGATGACTACCGGAAGGCTCTCTACACGCGCTCTGAGAGGGGTACCCTGCAGCTGTTTGACCTGGGCGTTCGTGGTGATCAGGCCAGCCGGGTCATCTCGCTGCCCCAGCACCAGTTGGCTCAGATGGCGTCCAGGGTGGCACCCACCACAGACACTGACAACTTCAGAGTCCTTGTGCACATCCAAGTGATATTGCCATCCGAGTCACCGCAGGCTCACCTGGTGGTCATCACACAGACCGGTGTGTCTTTGATCACTTATATGTTGACATTACCGGAAAAACCGGACTATAGGTCGAGTGGAATATAGGTCGACCTTCCAAGTTTAGGTTATTGAAAAAGAACAAAAAGGCAAACAACCCAGAACTGCTGAATGACATTTATTTGTAAATTGGGCGCACCGCACCCCGATCGTCGGAGCTCCCCTCAATCACCATAGCAAATGTTCCTATTCAGACGAAGCACCACTGTCTTCTGAAGACGAGAGTTTGTTGCTGGCCGCCTCCCACAGTGCGTTGTCTTCCGTGGCATACAGCGAGTTGCTGATGGAACATTTCTTAAAAGCATTTTCCACCATGGAATCTGGCAAGGAACGCCAGGCAGAAAGCACCCAGTCACCAACAGTCGCAAGCGGAGGCCTCTGTAGGTGGCCCGTCGGTGTCTTTAGGTTGTCGCCGGACATCCACTTTTGGTACTCCAGCTGCACTCGCTCCTTGAACGGCTTGAACAACGTTGATCAGTTGGAGGGTCGATGTCATACCACCTGGTATCACAGCGAGGTCCGTTTTTCCATCGCCCAGTGCGCGCTTCACAGCGTCCTTTAAGTGACCACAAAACGCATCTAACACCAGCATGCTGCAAAGACGCAGCAGTGAACTTGGCTGACGGTTCCAGACTACTCGTATCCATTCTAGCATCATGGCCTCGCCCGTGTATCCCTTTTTGTTGACGCGAACGACAACACCGGGCGGAAACGCTTCCTTCGGCATTGTCTTAAGTTTGAAAATGATGAAAGGCGGAAGCTTTTTACCATCTGCCATGCATGCCAGCATGACGGTGAAGCGGGAGTGCTTGTTGCCAGTGGACAACAGCTTCATATCCTTGGCGCCACGCTGCATGATCATGGTTGATGAAGGCATGTCAAACCACTTGAGGGTCTCATTGGAATTGTCAATCTGCCCCATAATGTATTTGTTCTGCTCCCGAAGCCGGTTCGCGAAGCCCTGAAAGTTTATAAGCTTGTCCTCGAACTCGTCTGGAAACTTCTGACAGATGGATGTGCGCCACCGGAAAGAAAATCCTTTGCACCCAAAAGTTTGGTGCACGAAACTCATCTCTCATGAGCCCAGCTTCTTGAGCGAGTTCTACAGCTTTCTTGCGAATGGTATCCACGGTCACTGGTAGCGAGCACGCATGAACTCCCCACACAAAGTTCCCTAGCATATTCTCCTGCTGTGGATAAACCACACTTCACCCACACAATGACATTTTTGAGGATTGCACATCTGTAGCTTCCCTTTCTGCACCCTCCAGTAGCGCACGCTTTTTCTGATATACCAATGTGGTGCTGAGCAGCCATATTCCCATTTGCTTCTGCGGACTTAACAACCTTGAGTTTAAACGCAGCTGAGTACTGTCTTCTCGTACCGCTACTCATATTCAGTGAACGAAAAAAAGACCACTAAATATGAAACACAATGTCAAGCAGAGTGAGAACTTAGAACAGATCGGAGGCAAATCACGAACACGAAAAAACAGACAAGAGAGAAAAAAAAAACAACAAGCTGGTATTGGATTTGAATGCGAATATGGCCGTATCCTGCTTCTCATGCACATGCAAGCCACATGTTGCCAGACAGCGGTGCACTGTCGGCTATGCATTTCTCTATAAGACGAGGGGCGACTTTAGCTCATTGTTTTATTGAAAATATCTCGACTTATATTCCGGTTTGTATGGTACATACTGCGCAGTTTAAGCAGCTTTGTTCCGACATTTGCTTATTTTGGTAGTGATTTTCAGGCGAGTGGGCCTGATAGGCATAGGAGATAGAGGTGATGTAGCGAGCAAACTTGACGAAAAGTCGCGCCAACTGAGTAAACATCGGAGGGTTGAAGAGGAAAAAAAAGTAAAGCAATAGCAACACTGCTTCGCCTTTGTGCAGTGGGTGGTTGCTCAAGTAAGGCATACACATTGTCACTATTGGGTTGTTCAATAAAAGTAAGGAAAGTAACCTGAAAAAGACAATAAAAGGACAGGGTAAGCAGACATATTGAAAAAAAAAAATCACTTTTTTCTTTTTGCTTTTATTAGAATGTGCAGCTTTCTTAGAATCGGTCGTCTCTTTGTCTCAGTGTTTTTTTTTTTTCTCTAAAAACGAGATATTTCGAAGTTGGCCAGCCATGCCCCCATTCTTGCGTATCAAGGGATTCCTTGCAGTTCTAGCATCATAGCCATGTGGTGAGTTCATAGTATGCAATCTGGAGTGCATTTGGCACATTCAGAAAAGAATGGGCCCAGAACTGCGAAAAAGGAAAGAAAGCAGCGGCATTAAGCTTTCTGTCGGGAAATCTATTCTGGCTGGGGACATCTTAGTAGTGCCATCATCGGTAAGTACGAAAACTATTATCGTTTGGCCATTAAAAAGAACAGAGCCAGCTTGGAGGACATGCGAAAAGCTTTCCACGCCACATATTTTCACATAGCTTCAAAGGATACCAATTCATTCCATGACCTTTGCCTGAAGGATGCTGAAACTTGGTGTAAATTAAACAAAACCCAGTTGGAAGGTGAACCATTCGCTCATGAAGAACACCTTCCACCATTTGTTATTGAGGCTGTTAAGCCAAATTATCGAGACCTAGCTCATCCAGAACAACTGGCTAAATGGCTCTATGGGAAAACCCAAAACGCAAATAAGTTGCGGAATTGTCAGGGAAAGAGAGGGGGGGCGCACTCGAAAAAACATTTTCTTTGGACACCAAGCACTGAAAATATGTGCTCTTGATTGATTGATATGTTGAGTCAATGTCCCAAAAGCACCATATGATTATGAGAGACACTTGTAGAGCTCTTGAAATTTTGACCACCTAGGGTTCTTTAACGGGCAACCAAATCTGATTTTCAAATATGCACAGCATTTTGAAATATGCACTCATGATGCTGTGCTAATTCTTAATGAGGGCAATATAGAATGTAGTCCATGTGAATTTGCTGAACTCTTCTGGAATTTCGCCAGAGCACTACACACTGCAGGGCTTTCACACCCTTGACCGACCTGCCTGCAGAGCCTCTTTTGTCACCTGCTGACAGAGCTGCACAGCAGGGGTCAAAGGAGGCTCTCCACGCGAGACGTTTAATACACACAAATCTGACTGGTCCAACATTGAACGAGTCCAACACTTTGCTGTTATCGTTATATTTTTGAAGTAATGCACATTTTAAACTTAAGACGCGATTATGCGTTTTTATATTTTTGTTTTTTGTTTCTTTATCTCAGCAACCACTGTATCTAGAACTTGTAGAGCCTTTTGAACTTGATCTAGAACTTGTCATAGCCTTTTGCTAGTATTTAGATGACCTAGTAGAGGATATGCTGAAGCATAAATATTCATCTGTGAGGAATTTCTCTTTTTTAGCACAACATATAATACAATAACTATTATCAAGTGATAATGAGGTACCTAAAGTAAAAAAAAATACAAAAAACGAGCAATAGTATGCTCAGTTCTAACTCTGCTTCAGTAGGAAGAAGTATGGCTTGTGATCACAATGATGACAAAATAGTCACTGGAACTTTTGTGGTTATAGAAAAAAAAAAAAAACCTTTTTGCCTTTGACCACGGGATGGCATGAATGAAGGCATTGATGAGCTATCTAGCGACGAGACCTGACAAGATGCCTGCTGCGGCGCGCATGCGCGTTCCGTAGTATCATTTGGCCTCTCATGTTGCTCTCTCCAACAAGCTAGTAGCCAAAACAGCACCTGGGCGTTGCGGTCTTTGCTCCATCAAACTTGTGCCATTTTTTCTTTTTTTTTTATTGCTGAGGCTGCGACGGTGCCGATTCCAGTGACGGGATCACATAGTTGTTTATGCCAGTTGATCAAAAACCAAGCGCAGCCAGCCTCACAAAACCTGATTAAGCCAACCACACAAAATTAAGTTTTCTTAGCTCAACTTGCTTAAATGAGCCTAGTTAAGTGAATGTAAGTGTGGCTGAATCTAATCCAGCCTAGTTGAGAGTGGCACCAGCTGATAAATTAGGGCATAAGTATGCTTGAGCCCAGTCAAGGTTGCTGGTTTTATGTTAAGAGTAGTAAAGCTTCGATGCGCCCAGATGAGTTGAGAAAAGTAAACGCTCCGCTTAATCCAATTATGCATAGTTGATCATGCTATCATTTCATTTAGCCGAGCAAAACTAGCAGAAATAAGGCAAGCCATATTGCGGCCAATTAGTCCAAGTCTACTTCTCCATGAACCTAGAGGAGCGAAACCCTGGAAGATACCAATTACTCCTTACTGACACTATACCAATCAAGCTAATTTATGTATACTTAGTATTAGTGAAGATGCTTACAAGTTATGGTTGATTAATTAGTGTAATGTGCAATCACACACAAAGCATACTGCAGTTTCATATGGCACAATTAGGCTAATAATGCATAACTAGGCTAATGAGGCAGCACCAAGGTAAGTATAAAAAATCTAAGTGTGATTGATCATGGCATCAAACTGGTCTGATTATAATCGGGTGTAAGTAAACAAGTTTTAATAAAACGTAAAGTAATTGAAATTGAATTTTTATAAGCTCAGAGAACCCAAGTTGAGGAAGATACTAATTACTAATCACTGAGTCTAGTCTCAGGCTAAATTAAGTATGATTAGCCTTAAAGCTAATTTGAATTATGTATTCATACTTATCACACTTGTTTCATCATAACTGAACTAGGCTCATTTAAGATCAACTTGGCCTAATGCAACAAAGGCAAGCTAAGCTGAGAAATTTTAATTTTGTGTGCTTGGCTTCATCAGGTTTTAGGAGGCTGGCTGCCCATAGTTATGCCGATTAACGGGTATTAATCACGACGCAAGACTGGTGCTGGAACAGGTGCCGTTTTAAAGCCATTGCAGCCGCTATGTAGAAAAAAACAACTGCACAAATTCGTTGGAGCAAAGACAGCAACGCCCAGTGGCTTTTTTGGGGACGAGCACATCGGAGAGAGCGACATGAGAGGCCAACTGA